CGGCGGCGGCGGCAGCTCTCCGGCGGCTGGCGATGGCGGCAAAGGGGCGGCCGAGGTTCCTCACCTCCGTGCGCACCCGACGGCGGCGACGGACGGCAACGGCGACGGCTACCGCAGCGGCGCGGCGCGGCTGGACGGTCGCCGGCGGCGGCGGCGGCTAGGGCAAAGCGGCGGCGGCGCTACGGGCAACGAGGGAGCTCGGGACTTGGGGCAAACGGAAGAGGACGATTAGGGGATGCTATTTATAGGCTCGGATTAGAGAGATCGGACTCCAACCGAGAGGAATCGAAGCCGGAAAAATCTAAAGTTAGTTTGGATGGATAAACTCAAAACGAACTCGATTTGGTTTATCCGAGCAAAATTGGCCTCCGAGACTTTAGGGGAAAGGGAGAGGATAAGGAGGAGATGATTTACCCTCAAGCAATCGGACTCGGGGGCGACCGGGTGAGGCGAATTTGGCGGAAAGGCAGCGGCGCTCGGACTCGGCTCGGCCGGCCGGCTGGAGGTAGGGAAAGGCCCCGACATGTGGACCCCACATGTCGGCGGCTAGAGAGGTGGGGGGGCGGGGCGGCGGCTTGGGCCGGTGTCACGCCCAGAAATTCACGAACCAGAATTTCTAAGCTGAATGTGTATTAAACCCCTGTCCAGGACCAGCCAGGGTACACAAACGACAATTGTTGACATACAGATCCACGTCTTACAAAAATATAAAAGATTACAAATGCAGCGGAAAAGGTAAAGCGAGCTAAGCCTGAAGACTTGACTCCTGCAGCGGGCGACTCCATTCCACAGGCAACCCTTGACGGCAGCGACGAAACCAACCTCTTCAAGACATCTCCAACTGGGAAGAACTTCAACTCTGGTGAGGGGGAAAAGAGAGCAAGACTGAGTACTACCCACTGTACTCAGCAAGTCACACCGGAAGAGGAGGTATGATGCAAGATATATCCAAGGGATGCTAAAGGTTCTTTTGCATAAAGCCGGCATTTCAAGCAGTAGTTGAAAGCAGTAAAACAGTTATAGTAATTAATCCATATTAACCAATCACTGTCCAACGTTACACCACGTTGCAACAGGCCCAAACCACCACCTGAACTAACCAGTTCCAAAAGCTAACTAGGGTGAAACTAATCACGGTGAATCTGGTCGACCGCCCATAACCGCGGGCACGGCTATTCGAATAGTTTTACTCTGATCAGAGGTGTACAACTGTACCCACAAGACACAGCCCCACGACACGTTCCCGTGCGCCGACATGCCACCACGACATACCGGAAAGAGGCCGTGACAGGACCCTTCGCATAACCCTCTCTAACCGATCGCACCACACCTTAGGGTTCGCCCCCGTCCCCAGCAGGCAACGGGCAGCCCCCCTTTCGTGCCGCGGTGAATCCGGAAGCCGATCAACCGGACACCCCGGCCGACCCAACTCCATCACGCCCACCCTCGCCTGGGTACGTCGGCTAGAGAAAAGCTACACTACAAGCCCAGCCGTTGCCCACGCTGGCTTGTGGTAAGTACGATAAATTCTTCCAGGGCATCCCGCGAACCGGTCCTTAATCGCCATGGGCACGTCTAGCAAAACCATGCACCCACAGCCCACCATGTAGTGTATTTTAATTAACCAACACCATTGCGGTGGCACTAATCCAAAGCTATTGCCAATAATCAAAGTCTATGCTTTAATGTGGCCCCTTTTGTGTACTAGTTGAACTAAGCATGGCTAAGCATCTCCTAAACCAACCTCTAGTCATTTTAATACCCAAGTTATCAATGGCATAAGGGAAACAACATATAGCTGAGTAATAGGACCCATCCCACATGATATTGTAAAACAATGCAATATTTAATAGAAATGCGGGACATTTGTAAATTAGGTACAATATGATCAATTGCAATGTATGACTTGCCTTGCTCTCGCACTGATGGACCCACAGCAACGTCTTCGAGAAACCACGAATCGACGAAACGGCCGAAATCTACGCGACAAACAAAGCACACAAGCAAAACATGCTATAAGACTACTGAAACAGAGAACAAAACCATTTTTAATGGATTCTACACATTTTTATGAATTTACTGAGACTTGAATGGATTTAATCGGAGCTCGGATGAATTAGTTATGATTTTTAGAAGATTATCTGTGTTTTTACTAATAAAGAAAAACCCTTAATCAATTTATTGCGCAATAATTCATCCCAGGGCTGACGTCAGCAAGGGGTGGGGCGGCGCCGACATGCGGGCCCCACTGGTCAGCGGCACAAGGGGAGAGGGAGGGGTACTGGCAGGCGGGGCCCACCGGGCAGTGGCACAAGGCGGGAGGGGCGCGGCTGGTGGCTCGGCTCGGCTTCAAGCCGGCCGGCCGGTTATGGCGAGGGCGGCGGCGCGCGCGCACGGTTGCCAGCGACGGCAACCGGCGACGGGAGGCGGCGGCGGACGGCGCAAAGACGGCGGCGGCGGCCGAAGCGGCGGCGCGAGCGACCCTAGCGGCGGCGCTACACGGCGGGCGGCGCAGCAAAGGGAGAGAGAGGAAGAGAGGGAGACCGATTCTCACCGAGGGGCTCGGCCGGCGCGAGGGAGGAGCGACGGCGAACGGCAACGATGAGAGACGGGAGGACGACGGCGACGGGCTCCGGGAGGACCTAGAGAGAAGGTTGGGAGGGGTTAGAGAGAGGGAGGCGGTCCATGGCGCACGACATAACCGATCGAAGGCGGCGGCAATGGTGGAAGCTCACCGGAGTGCGAGGAGATGCGAGCTCCGGCGATGGAATTGGACGGGAGAACAGCGGACGAGGTGGACCTCGGGATGGCGGACGCGGCGGTGCCGATGGCGGGGTGCGGCGGCGACCCTAGCGGCTGCTAGAGGCGGCCGGAGCGGTGGAGATGGTGGCGGCGGGTGGGTGCACGGTGCTAGGGCGATAGGGAGCTCGGGAGCGGACGGCGAAAGAGGGAAAAAGGTGGAGAGAGGCGCGGTGGTCGGTTATATAGAGGTGGGGAGGCCGGACGTGGCCGGGAGCGGCGGTTCCGCGGCGACGACGTGGAGAGGTGGAGGAGGAGAGAGAGAGTGGGGAAAAGAGCAAATCCCCCGCCGTTTGCGGGCGCGCGAGCTAGCGGGAGGTGAGCGGCGACGTGGGCGTGCGGCACGGGCGGAGTGGGCGCGAGAGCAGCGGGATACGCGGCGGCGTGGGCGGTGGTTTCGACGGCGGTTGGCGCGGGCGTGGGCGGCCGGAGGTTAGGGAAAGGGCTGACAGGTGGGCCCCACCTGTCAGCGCCCGAGGGAGTGAGGGGGAGGCGACCTGGACTTCGGGAGGGGGCGGGAGAGATGGGCCGGCGGCCCAAAGGAGGAAAAAGAGGGGAAAAAGGAAAGATAAAAAGGAAAAAGGATTTTCCCAGGGATTTAATATTGCACTTTGCTTATTTTAATTGGTTAAAATTATTTCCAAGGCTCTGAAAATTCCACTAAAAATCCTGTTAGCATATTTTGACATGTAGAACTCAAGAAAAATTCCACATGCCAATTCCGATTATTATTTGCATTTATTAACTAGGGATTCATCTCTAGGTTAAATTAAACAATTTCTTCGGACGATTTATTTTATGAATTTAGAGCAAGGGAGGGGAACTTCAGGGCGTGACAGCCGGCTGGGCCGCTCGGCCACGCGCGGCTGAGAGGAGAGTTGGGCCGGAAACGGCCCAACAACTTAGAGGAGGATTTAAAGAATTTTTCAATTAAAATAATTCGTGCCATGATGTTTCATTTATTAAAAATACTTTTCTTGCTCAAATAATTCTCAGAAAAATATAGAAAATAGATAAACAAGCAAAGTATTTAATGGAATTTTACGTTGAAATTTTTCCTAGATTATTCTAGTTTAACTCATAGGCTTTTAAAATAATTTCTAAAAATGATTTAAAAGATGAATTATTAAATTAGGCGATTTTCAGGGCGTGACACCCTAGCGGCGTGGTGGAGATCAGGCCATTCCCAATCCAAGACACTAGACATAGTTTCCATAAGCTCCACATCATCAAGAAACTAGTACTAGATATTACTCTTTCAATGCAAATACTACTATTCCATACTTAAATTTAATGCTACTTATATCACATGATGTCTTATATGTTGTGTAGAAACCATGTCTCATGCAAGACATGTTTCCTTCTCTTTCCTCATTTATTCACTTGCCACATAATTTTTCATCCTAGGTGACAGCTTATTTAATGCTATGGACACTATCCTAGTCATTGGGTTGGGAATGGCCTAATACAGGTGGTGATCGTCGGCACTCGGCACACGCTGGAGCTTAGAGGACGCTTGATCAGAGGTGCCTTGCGTGGTGCACGCTACTACAAAGTTGCATAACCGTAGTCTTCAACTTTCGGCATGCAACTTTTAGAAAATCTTTATCTTCATCACAACTTTGCAGTGGTTTCACAATAATATGGACCGCCCTATTATTTTGGCTTATTCATGGATTAAACCAAATGGTATATTTGCAAATGAAAAATAATTTGTTAATAAAATATGTGTTCTTAGCTATCTAAAAGCAGGGACTGAAAAATAAACTTTGATAAAAAAAATCACAAAATCAACTTTAAATTTAAGGTTGAAAATTTAAATTTTAGCTGATGAGCATAAGTATAAGCGAAAAGATGAAGCCGCAAAATTATTTAGAATGAACATCGGAGCAATATTCTGCTTACTAGACCGTACTTTATTTGTTTCCAAGGTATCAAAATGTTATATTGTGGTCATTATGACTGATAGCGATTGGAATTGATTCCCAGAACCGAAAGAAAAAAAAAACAGTAATTCTCATTTCTCCGTCCAATTTCAGATATCACATGCACATCGTGCCACTTTAACGAAAGGAGAGAAAAAAAGCAGCAGATTAAAGATGGAAACTGGACAGACCAAAGTCCCAACTAGTCTTTAACAACCCACGAGTAAAAAGCGAAAGCCCAACAGTGCAGTGCTACACCCAATAACTAGCTTCCCGTACTAAACCAAAGCCGAAAGAAAAAAAATACTCAAAATTAAAAAGCAAAACCATTTCATCGACACAGCGCCCACAAAACCGCAAAATCCTCCGCCGCCTCCTCCGGCCGGTAGCGCACGCCGCCGACCACCCGCCGCCGCGGACGCGACGCCTCCTCTCCCCGATTCGGCCCCGGATCACATGCGGCCACTACCCCGATGTCATCCTTCCAGCTTCTCCTCCACTCCTTGCTCTTGCTTCTCGTCGTTGGCGGCGTCGCGGGCGGCGGCGGCGGAGGTGGTCGCCTGAGGGCGCCTTCGCTGGAATTCCACCACCGGTTCTCTTCTCCGGTGCAGCGGTGGGCGGAGGCGCGCGGGCACGTGCTCCCCGGAGGCTGGCCGGAGCACGGCAGCGCCGATTACGTTGCGGCCCTGAACGGGCACGACCGCCGCCGCGCGCTCTCAGCAGCCGGCGGCGACGGTGGAGGAGGAGGAGACAAGCCCCCGCCGCTCACGTTTTCTGAGGGAAACGCCACCCTCAAGGTCAGCAACCTCGGATTGTAAGGCCTCTCCCCGTCTCTCACTCCCTCTTCGTAGTGGTTTGGTGCTTGAGAGTTTTAGTGAAGAGTCGCATTTTTGTGGATATGTAAAAGCTTGCACTATGCGCTTGTGACGGTCGGCACGCCGGGCCAGACGTTCATGGTGGCGCTGGACACCGGGAGTGACCTCTTCTGGCTGCCGTGCCAGTGTGATGGGTGTACGCCGCCGGCTTCGGCCGCTTCTGGATCGGTAAGAGCACTATTCTCTTGACAATTCGATAGATCCTTTGTTCATTTAGGTGTTGGTGCATAATTCAGAGCTATACAACGATCCATGCTGCAAGAATTTTCATGTTGCTTCAGTGGCTTTTAAACTGTGCAATGCTTTTTAGGATTTTTGCTGATATACGGTATGATTTGGTGATATGCTGCATGTGGGAATGGACTTATGGTGCCAGAAGATGGTTGCTACTAATTACACAGCTTAGTAAAAATTGAATGAGATGTCGATTCGCTAAGATGTCTGGCATTATGCCGTTCAGTTGGATGAAAATATCTGATCTTTCTGGCCTTTAGTTTGCTCTTGATTTATTTGTCAAAAACGCATGGGCTTGGTCATAATCTATAACTAGTGTCGAATGTTGTGGGAAATTGTGTAACCTTTCATAATGAAGTCCTAATTAGGTGTTTAAATGGTATGTATTGTCCTGTAAAATTGTAAATTGAAGTACAATATCTGAGTGATCATCTAATCTTATGAATCGACAGGTCTCAATAACGCATAAAACAACATTGACTGCATAGATCAGCCGTTCTGAAATCTTGTTGACTTCAGTTCAATCTTCAATGTTGTTTCTTGCTGCTGTTTTATTTTCTTCTTCCCACTGTTCTAAACAATGACCCATTTAAAGCCTTGTTGGCCGTTCTCATAGATCCTAAATGTGGTCACCTTACTGCTATGCTTTTCACATAAACAGTAATATAGAGATTTACCAAGGAAACATGACATTTATTGTTTTAGGCTGTAAACCATTTTTTCTATCCTTTCGGTAGCATCAAGAGTCAAGTTTGCAGAGTATATAGCGGGCATGAAGGTTGCCAAATATGTCCGCTATAACTACAATGCCATAGACCTTCATTTCTTTTTCTATTCTTTTGAGTGAATTGCACAAATTGCAAGCATTTTTACACATGTTTCACAAAATACAAGTTCAGTGGATATTCTCACACACCTACATGTTTTGTGCGGTATTAGCTTGATTTCTGTATCACCCCCATCAACTGGCCCTTGAATGGGGCATCTACAATGAGATATATGTGTCTCATTGTACATGTTTGTGATGACTACGATGCAAGGGCTGATGCAGCAAGTGGGTACAGAATACTTAATCACAAGGCCTCTCTTTAATCCTGCAAGGGTGAGTCAACTTAGCAAGACAGAAATCAGACTAAGTGGAACGCAAGGCATGAAACATGTTGGTTTGTGAGAATGCCATCGAACTTGTACATTTGTGCAACATATGTCAGTACCTGTACATTTGTTGCAGCTGTTGCCTTCTAGATTAAAAGCCTGTGTTGTGTGTGTACTTTCACGATTTCAAATTTTCCAGTAAATGAATACTTGTTTAGTTGTTTTAGCTTCCAAGAGTAGAAATGCTTTAATATTACATCAGGAAAAATTTGAAGGTATACATTATATCTCTTAAACCATATCATTCAAGGGTCCTTGATGTTATTTGCTGTAACTTGTGGTGGGTTACTATAGCTGGTGTGCATGGGCCACTATTCTGTCATGTAACAAATAAACACAATGATAATATGCTCATTATTTGGATGTTACTCTAGTGTGTTTGTTGTAGCCAATGAGTATAAATACTGATAGTCTGTCCTTGATGTTATGAATAAACACTGTATAGGGCCTAAAGTCTTATCCTGGACCAGTTTTCTACATCCTTCCATCACCAAACCGGTGCATTCTTTCACCTCAAACCATTCTACTTCAGGCCTTCCTCTGATGGATTTAATACCTCTATAGTAGGGCTGGTTCGTAATCCTCCAGCCAGACAGCAGCCATGAAGCTTCGTTGCTGCCTGGCATAATTAAGTCATGAGAATAAGCTTGGTTGGCTACCAAGTTATTTTTATGATTGTACTTTGAAATTTAGAAATTAGGGCAATCATTCTTATCAGTTGCCTATTTGGAAATATTAGATTGAGCTTTTAGGGAGTGGCTCTATATAGTATGACATTGTCATCCTTGGCTAGATGTAACAAAGTTGCTAGTCTCACTTTCTTCTTATGATCTGAAGACTTCCTACCGTGTTGGAAGGAGCTCTGCCGGAAGCTAGTAGAGGCCGAGACTCAAGTGCTTGAGCCTTATCCAACCATAACTGTACCACTTGATATAATTGTTGTGCATATATGTAGCTTGAGTGTACCTGATTGTCTTTTTCTATGATTTTTTTTTGTTTTTATTTCCTTTGTTTCTGTTCTCAACTTCTCATACATACCTTAGTCTATCTCCTTTTTGGACAAAAGTTTTGCCTGCTTGTTTTTTTATTTCTCACACTTAAAACTTCTATAGCAAAGTAATATTTTCTATTGTCATATTGATTGTGTTGGTACTCTGAAAAATTACAATTTATTTTTCTTCCAAGTGGCACTTTTGCTACATGTATGTTCTCTCTCAAGATAAGATTTGGGTAACTATATTGCTCAGTTACTCACTGGCTGCCCCTGGGTTTCAGGCTTCCTTTTACATCCCTAGTATGTCGTCAACAAGCCAAGCAGTTCCTTGCAACAGCCAATTTTGTGAGCTGAGAAAGGAATGCTCTACAACATCACAGTGTCCATACAAGATGGTTTATGTTTCTGCAGACACATCTTCTTCTGGTTTTCTAGTAGAGGATGTGCTCTACTTGTCAACAGAGGATGCCATTCCTCAAATTCTCAAGGCGCAAATACTATTTGGGTAATTTTTACATTTCATATAATGGGTGAAGGAGACTGTGTTCAGCATTTTGATAAAATCTTCTCTACATTTATCAGATGTGGACAGGTTCAGACAGGATCATTTCTGGATGCTGCTGCTCCAAACGGTCTATTTGGACTTGGGATAGATATGATATCAATTCCTAGCATTCTAGCACAAAAAGGTCTGACATCTAATTCCTTCGCAATGTGCTTTAGCCGTGATGGTATTGGGAGAATTAGCTTTGGAGATCAAGGCAGCTCAGATCAAGAGGAGACACCACTAGATGTTAACCCACAACAGTGAGCAATTTCTTTTTTTTACTAGAGTAAATTTCAAGTTGCTCGAAACCATAGGGATTTTGGCATGTGGCAGTGGCAGATAACCTCTAGTGTTATGGTCCTAGAGTTTCAAAAAACCACACCCATGACCAATCTTAAGCAATCTAACTTCGATTGATGCAGCTCCTATATGGCGGGATCAAAGAACATGTTACTTTGGATATGTGATTCCAGAACTCATATATACAAATCAAAGAATTAACAGGTCAACTATTTGGTTTTCTAAAGCATTTTTAACCATAGTACATGGTGTTATGTGCCACATGCTAAAACTCGTATGGTTTTGTGCAATTTGGACTATAATACCTGGGTTTTGTTTACTCTATGTACTATGTTATCTTCTTGTCCATTATTATCTCACGTCTGGATAAAATCTTTTTCTCCAGTCCTACATATACGATCAGCATCAGTGAGATTACAGTTGGAAATAGCCTCACGGACTTGGAATTTAGTACTATTTTCGACACAGGAACGTCGTTCACATACTTGGCAGACCCAGCTTATACATATATAACACAGAGTGTAAGTAAATAATCTGTGAGGGTCTGATCTTTCATTGAGATGGGAGTGATTCACATAACTTTTTTCTCATTTTCAGTTCCACGCACAAGTTCATGCAAATCGCCATGCCGCTGACTCAAGAATTCCTTTTGAATATTGCTATGATCTGAGGTTTTATTCTATACAAAAATATTTTTCAGACCTTTTGATTTGTACACTTGCCATTCTGTGTTAAATGACAAATCCTGACTTTAACTTATACAGCTCCAGTGAAGATAGGATTCAAACTCCTAGTATAAGTTTGAGAACAGTGGGTGGAAGTGTATTTCCCGTTATTGATGAAGGGCAGGTTATCTCCATTCAGGTACGATGAGCCCCATATACCTGTATTTATGTAAGTTTGTATACCCTATATGTAACCATATTGGTTTTGTTTGAAATTTGCAGCAACATGAGTATGTTTATTGCTTGGCGATTGTCAAGAGTGCAAAACTCAATATAATTGGGCGTAAGTTTGCGACCAAACTATTCAGTCATTTTTTTGTTGTTGAAAAATCAAATTTCACAATATTAGTACTTATTTGAACATATCCTCTGCGAGAATGAAACATAAAAATGTTATGTTTCATCCTAAAATCAATTCAGTTGTTCCTTTTTGAGTAGGACATGTGAAAAACTGAAAATTGCCTAGAACCAAATTTCTCATGCTTTTGAATACCATACTGAATGATGTTCCTGTTCATTAGTTAAGGACACCCAAGGGTCATCTTTTCACTGATGACTACCTTTTTTTTTCTGCGGAATACTGCTCTACAAATGTTGGCATGCTATGTTCTCAATGCACACATCTAAATCTCTTCTCTGTTTCATGTAAGGCATAATAATTCATGAGCACGTTATTAGTTGGCAACTTGGCATAACACCTCTTATGGTAATTAGTATACCACTATTCCATTTGTTAAAGCAGCCTCTAGTCTGCTGCAGACTTGCTAATGTCTAAACCTGGTTAGCTCCTAGTCCAAATTTGACTAACCAAGAAGGTTCAAATTTCCATTTGAGATTTCTTATAAAAACATAACAATTTTAAAAATTACACTTTTAAGAATCAGTTTCATAAGCTACACTTCTATTGTTATTCTGTATCACAAAAAAAATAAACTGGAACATGCAGGAGTATAGTTTTCCAACAGTTTTCTAAGGACTAGTCCGCTTATCCACTAAGGCACTAAAGGCAGCATATAGCTAGAACATACGGGCCAACACTTCAGTAAGATGCCGCCAGCATCAACTTTCGTGTGACTCTGATTGACTCATTGCAATTGGTTCTTCATTGACTTCATGCCTTGCCACCACTTTGTTGAAAAGATTATGGCTGAGGAATTGGTTCAATACATAAGAGCTATTTCCTACCATGCACAACAGTACGGTGATATATTATTTCTTAGCATTGCCACCACATATGGTTTTTAACTGCTAACATGTATATTCTTCAATCGTTGGATAGCCATGTAGTCATGTAAATGTGTTAATCAACTGTACTTTTTGAACCGCATGGGGGTTCTTCTGGATGTAATCTGGAATGGGAAGGTCTGGCCTCCCCACTCATTTGTCCAATATCTTCTTCCCCCAAGTACATTGACATTCAGCAGTCTGTAGCTTGCAGAACATGATTATTTCTAAAATTGAAGTACTTTTCCATTATGTTTTCATTGGACCACTTTTCATGTTTAATTGTGTTCATACAGTACAACTAATTGTATAACTATCGTGCAGAAAATTTCATGACTGGTCTTCGTGTTGTGTTCGATCGAGAAAGGAAAATTCTTGGTTGGAAGAAATTCAATTGTGAGTAAAATGATCATTATATTGTTTTTGTCACTTTGAAGGCTTACTCATAATTTGGTGTTGATATGTTTTATCAACACAGGTTATGACACTGATAGTTCAAATCCTCTTTCTATCAATTCACGGAATTCTTCAGGTTTCTCCCCTTCAGCACCTGAGAATTACTCCCCCGAGGAAACAAAGGGTGGGAACCCAGCAAGCGTTACACAGTTGAGACCCCTTAGTAATTCCAACCCAGTAATGTGGTATGATAGTTTAGTCTTCAGGTTTCTTTTGGTCAATTTGGCCGCTCTGATCCTCTTCTAATTTGTTTCGGGATGACCTGAATGTAAATTAGTTATCACGATTACTGTAGATGCACTAGAAGCTGACTAGAGAATACAACATAGAGAACAGTACTGTATACACGTCCTGTAAATACCGTCCTTTGTGTCGACAATATTGTGTCAAAAGCAATTAATTTGTGATGCCGATTTTTGATGGCTCACACTGTACGAGTTCCGTTTTCGGTCTTCGTTTTTTCCTTGTCAATTATACTATCTTTCCTTATAAAATTATCTCCTTTGTCTGGATCAACAATATTGTGTCGAAAGCAATTAATTTGTGATGCCAATTGTTGATGGCTCACTGTACAAGTTCCCTTTTCAGCCTTTGTGTTTTCGTTATCAATACTCATCGCATTGTCATAAAGTGTATACTATTAACGCCCAATTTTGATGGTTCTGATTTATGTGTAGAAATGAAAAGGTTGTTGTTCTAACTTATTTGAAGTTCCAGATTACTCCGATGAAGCTCTTTTCTTTAAAGCAGAATAATGGGCAGAAAATGAATTTACTGCAGGAATTGTAAAGCCTGTTAAATGAAAATTTTCAGGGGTATTTTGGGATGAAATTTGACCCCTTTTTTCTTTTTTTTTTTGGCTTATTTTCATGAACATTCTCTTATAGTTGAACAAATTTCTGAGTTAAGATAGTTTTGTCTTAGGAAGTGTATATAATTACAAACAAGAAATGAATAAATAATTATAAACAATGAAAAACTAGCACCAAAGTCAGGCAGGAGATAGAATATCAGAGTGTCTTGGAGATGTCAAGTTCATAAATCTGTAAATTACTCATGCCTGCTTTTGTGGCATTCACATTGTTGATGAATTTTCATAAGAAAGGGATCCTCTGGCTTAACTACATTTAAATTGAGCCACTGACATGTGAGACATAGCAAAGCGGGATCCACATGCCAATGAATCAACTGCATGTGCAGTTAAGTTAGAGGGATCTGCTTTCCAAAGACTAAAATTTTATTTAGAATTAAGATTCAGAACACACATTTGTTATTGTCAACATTACGAAGTGGAATTGATCACATAAATATGGCCACCGAGAGTGGCCAAATTGAAGCATCATACAACAGCAGAAATAGAAGATCATACTGTTACTCATCAGTAAATCCACCACTGGAGAAGACCCAGCTTATTCTCCTCAGATTTATCTACTCATCAGATGACTCCAAGGCTTCCAACTTATCAGATGGAGTGACAGCAACTCTTCGGTTCTCACGCTCGCCTTCTTCATCGCTGTCGATCTTGCCTAGCGGCGACGAGAAGTCCAGCCGCATCCCCTCCATTACGTCCTCGTAAGATTCAGCGAGGTCCTGGGAGGTCAGCTGATGATACTCCACCAGCTGAATCAGGCTCTGGTTTTCCCTGGACAGGTTGGCGTTCTCCTGCGCCAGTCGAGATTTTTCCGCGAGCAGAGCCTCCAATTGCAGCCTCACCTGAAAATTTTGTCCGGAAATTGTTAACATACTAACAAATAAAGTATCATTAAACAAAAATCAACAGAAATAATGTCAACCAAGATGCTGAATTTTTCAGCCTGTCTTGCTCAATCTTGACTGCGAAATGCTGGGGGCTGCCCAAGTAGTGTGACAGACTAACAAATCTCATTAAACAGAAATCAAGAGAAGTTATGTGATCCAAGATGCTGAAATTTTTTCAGGCTGTTGAAATTGTTGGATGTGAAACCCAAGTGGTCTGACAAATCAAGAACTGAGGCCAGCACGAAGCCATAATTACCAGGTCATCTTCTTCAGGGGGAACTCCATTGTCATACCCCTCTCTGAGCCTCTTGTTCTCCTCCTCAAGCAAACCGCATCTCTCCTGCATGAAGTGCAGCTCCGATTTGATGTTCTTCAGCTCCCTCGCCAGAGCAGCCGCTCTTCCGGCCATCGAGACCGCCAGCTGCATAGACAGTTCGCACAAAATTGATCCAAATCAGCTTTCTGAAATAACCCAAACCAACCGGAAAAAGATCATGTGGAGGAGCTGTTAATCTCCCAACTGACATTTCTGGCACGCTTCAGATTGGTGCTCTTGGCGACCTCCGAAGTGGCCTGAATGCCGCCGTTCTCCTGACGCAGTTTCGCATCCGCAGCTAATTCTTCTTTCTCTGAACCTTCACCTGAATCTGCTCCGGCGACCGGAGTCTCGCCGTCGAAGCTCACCGTCTCAGCCAAGCTGCAGCGCCGCTTGGCTTTCGGCTCCTCCTCCTCATCACCTCTCTCGCATTCCCTCGCCTGGGAAGAGCACGTGGCGAGCGCATTCACTCCCTGAGCAAGAATACCACCGGGCACATCAGATCTCCACAGAAATTAATACTCCTACAACAACATCGAATTGCAGTGGAGAAGAAGCAAGCGACGCCGGCGGCGTGGATCCCGAACCTTCTGCGCGGCGGTGAGGGTGTCGGAGAGCTGCGCCAGCGAGGCGGCGACGGAGTCGAGGCCACGCACCAGCATCAGCGAGTCCTCCCTGAGCCGCTTCCCCCGCTCGGATTCCACCCCGCACTGCAAAGATCGCGCCACATCAAGATCCAACTCCCCACGCAAGAAGAAAAACCAACAAACAAACGGGGGACAGCAAAAGCGGCTCACCGTGGCGGCGGGGGGAGCGACGAGGCGGCGGTCCTCGAGGATGGTGTCGACGCGGGTGCGGAGGCGGTCCCAGAAGCGGTCGTCGGAGGCGGGGCTGAGCAGCGGCGCCGTCGCGTCCATGGCGGAGGAGTAGCGCAACGGCTAGTTTTTTCTCTCCTCGCGTGATGTCTTCGATTGGTTTGTTGGTTTGACTGGAATTCGGATGGATGGGGAGGCGATGGAAGGGATCGCGGTGGGCAAGTGATTTTTAAACGGGGGAACGGCAACGGTCGAATTTAATTGGTCTTCGAGTTTCGCCGGTATTTTCTCACGGGTTCCGGCGCGGCGTTTTTACTAGGGAGGTACGCGCCTGGGTGGGGCCACTCTGTCAGGGGAGTCCGCGTTGATGGCTACAGACAGGTGTGAGTACTAGTATTATAGAGGTTGTCCATTTTACGGAAAGAATTAATTTCTCTTCTGCTCCATTTATTAGGATCAGTTTAATTTCTTTTAGCTCTTGATTCTGGATTTTATCCCCACATAAAACAAGTAGCTTAACGTGTGTGTATATATATATATAAAGTACGAGTTCATTCTTAATCCTGCAATCCCCTTTCAGATCCGTTGTTGCGTGGGACCCACCTGTCATCCCTAAGAAAGTAACCACGCACCAAGAAAAATAGAAAAAAAAGCGCGCCGCTAACCTCCGCCATCCCCACGTCGCGCCGCGCCGCCCTCCCCACGTCGTACCTCCGCCGCCCGCCTCACCCGCCGCACTCCCCTCTCCCCTCTCCCTCGCGTCGCCCACCTCCCCTCGCCGCACTCCCCTCTCCCTCGCATCGCCCACCTCCCCTCTCCCCGCTGCCTCAGGATCTCCTCCGCGCCGCCGCCGTTCAGTCGTCGTCGCCGATTCTCCTTCGCCGCGCACAGCCGTCGTGGCCTCAGGTTGCTTGCACCTTCTCCCATGCTGACTAACGGCGTCGTGGCCGCCGCCGCCATCATCACCGGCACCGACCTCTCCTCTCAGGTGTGGTTCTCTCTCTGTTAATTTGTCTGTTAATTTGCATCCATTCACTCAAACATAATTCGTTAACATGGTTCACATAATCATACTATTAATCTTTAAACGCCAGATAACCGAAAACATCATGTTGAGTTTTGAGTGGTCTCTCCGAGAAATGGAGCCTGAAGAAGCAGTAGACAATTGATTTTGTTACCAAGTGATTCACTTTTGTTCTTTTGCTACATAAGGTGGAACATTTTTTATGTTTTTAAATTTCTATTTATATATATTCCAGTGTATGACAGATTTGGAGCCTCCAGACAAGCAGGCTGATGCGCAACTTGCTCTGTGGTGGTTAGCACCGAATCATGTAGTACTAATGAAGCTAATTAGGCGCAAGAGGTAGAGGGAAAGGGGTAAAATTCCCCGTTGATGCAATCTGTATTATTTTAGATGTTAAATGCCACGGATCAATTCGTCTGTCTTCCTCACGATGGCTGCCGTTTTCAGCTGCTCTCCACCCTGATTGCCATAGACCTTCCTTCCAGGTGAGAGGTGGGGCAGAGGCGGATCATGCCTGATGTCGGGATGTGCGAGTAAATTAGAGGTATAAACATAAATGTTATTCTGAATGTTTATGTTGGTATTGATAGATTATCAGATTCTCTAATGAAATGTATATCCTTTTACTTTGCCTCTATATTTGAATGCACAATAGGTTAGGTTAGGTGCTTTCGGTCAATATATAGTATTCAATTTTTTTATTTGGTTGGATTCATAATTTTGACTGATTTGATGAAAATTGGATTGAAGGGTTGAAAAGGGCGGCGAAGTTGTGAAGAGCTGATTCCAATCCTCGGTAAAACAAAATATTCCCCTGCATTTGGTAGTATAGACAGTCATTTTTTTTACTGAAATCTATTTGAAAATTAAGAAGTATCTTTACACATAGGATGAACTGAAATTAAATGGAATTGATTCGTCTGCTTTTCTATCTCCTGTAGGTCTGACTTTGGGATCAATTGACATATCTCTAAAGTGCTGCAGTTGTAGTAGGGGTCTCTGTATAAACCACTCTTGAGCTTTCTCAACTCCAAGTGGATCTATTGCAACCAACACAGTGGCTCTCCCTGCTGACCATGTATGTGTCTTACTTCTGAGATAAGTCTGTTTTAGTCGAATTTCCTATTTTTATTATAGGAAATATCCAATTTGAGAAATGAATTGAGATATTACCCTACCTACTCTGTTATATGGCTTCAAGTATTTATACTTGCTGGCATCGCAGCTTATACCTTCGCTTCGTATAGTAACAGATTCAAAGAGCACTGACCTTAAAAGGAAGAGAGCAAACAACTGGTACAGTTCCTTGAGCACTGAGCAAAAGGATTGGACATGAGTAACCTTCAAATTTTGGTGTTAGACTACACATATTCTGATTCTAAGTGTAATTAGAAGCATCTCTGCCAGTCCTTTATATGTTCCATTTACATTTGTGTCGTGCAATGTCAACTGCTGAAGGTAATAGTGTAGGTTGTGTAAATAACTGTATCATGGTTCGGCCTAGCAAGCCCGAGGAATAATTTGCTCTTTCTGTAAACAAAAAAGTTTGCGATCTAATTCTTTCTCAGGTTACTGTTCCCATTGACCTGCAGTCATCCGCACACATATACCTACAACAGCTACCATTCTCATGTGGATATGACTTGCAAAGTAAAACAGAACTTTGATGCATGAGCATACTTGATTTGATTTGTAATTTGCTCCTGCGTACCTATCTGAACTTTTTTGCCTGTTCAACTATTGCAGGGATTTATCATAATTAGCTAGACATTTTCATCTGAACATTTTTGTCTGTTGCAGCATTGCAGGGACCATCACAAGTACCTGGACATTTTCTCATCTACTTACAAACTAAAACAGAACTTGATGCTTGAGCATACTTGATTTGATTTTTAATTTTCTGCTGGGTAACTATCTGAAATTTTATGCCTGTTCAACTATTGCAGGGATTTATCATTAGCTGGACAATTTGTTCTCTGAACATTTTTTTTTCTGTTGCAGCATTGCAGGGACATCACAAGTGCCTGGACATTTTCTTCTCTACTAACATGCAGTAATTCAGTGCCTATCTCTCATTTTCAATTTTTACAGTTCCAGATTAATGTGCCTATATTTATTTAGCTTCTCTATTTAAAAAGTTTTTTATCTGTTTAATCGTAAAAAGGCTTTCACATGTTTTTTTTAACAGAGCCACAACATGTTATTGATACAAAATGGTTTGATTTGACTCTTTCCTGCCACACATTAGAGGACGACCTGCCATGGTCGATGTTACAAACTTAACTGCTGCCAAGGATAGGAGAAAGCGTGACAGAGAGGTATGCTGCACTCCCTCTACAATCGTCACAGGTAGGGATCACTGCTATGTAATGATTCTGCTTTCTTTGCCACTGCTATTTACTTAATTAGTAACTATTGTTTGGGCATGCTATTAATGTTTCATCCTTTTTCCTAAATAGGAAGGGTGCCCATAAGAGATATCACAAATTATGCTGGCTTTGGTGCTACCAAGCCTATTCAGGTGCCACTGCTATTTACTTCATTAGTAACTATTGTTTGGGCATGCTATTAATGTTTCATTCTTTTTCCTAAATAGGAAGGGTGCCCATAAGAGATATCACAAATTATGCTGGCTTTGGTGCTACCCAAACCTATTCAGGAACCGTGATACTGAAAGGTAACATGTTTGTTCCTAAAATTTCTGGATATATACATTAAAATAGACATCATGTTTATTTAGAACAAAGAGAGTTATGCCTCCTATGATGCTGCCCAAAAGAAATCATGTTGACAAACCATGAAATGGCCATAGATCACTACTTATGCTAAATGATGCATTTTCAGATTGGTTGGAGGCTTGGAGCTGTTTATTTCCCTTAATTTCAGCCTTCCTGATAAAAATGCATGCTGCCTACTGTGCAGTGCCAAAGCTTTGATTCGAGACACTGTTGTAGGTAGCAATTTACGTGATGCATTGCATTAAATTTTTTTTGACTGATGAAACCTGGACTCACTGAATTGAAGGAAAAACACATAGCTCTATTGTGCTTATATTCTTCTCTGTTGGAGCAGGTCTTCTATGGGTCTTGGAAGTGCTCATCCACTGTTTTGATCAGTGAAGGGGATGCTGTTAGTGATGGAGTTAGAACAAGACATAAAGGTAATGATCAAGTTAATCAGCGTTTTCCTTGCATTTTCAATATACACAACTTCATTCCGTGTAATTATATTCACGTTTTAAGATTGGTTTTCTCATTTACTCCTAATCATTGAACTTTTTGTGGTTTTGTGCTGCACATTTTCTGTTTTTTGCAATCCACGAAGCTGTTACATGTTCAAAACAAAATTATAGATGGTCCTGTACAAATATGAATGCTTGGAATTAGTGAATATAGTACTGTGAAAATTATGCCACCCAGCTAAATTTAGTGCCAATTGCAATTTCTTTTGCATGTATAATCTATTTGATTGATTTATTCGGTATATGAATTGTGTTCTAGGAGCCTATATAAATGTGTGGTGTCAAATATGAATTTCATACTGTTCAACATGTACTATGATAGTCCAAACTTTAGCTGTTCATTAATGATTTTATTACAAATGCAGGCCGGTTTAACAGACCACTCTGTTTTTCTTAACATTTCAATGTATGGGCAGTATTTGCTATGAATTGAGCACTTGTGTTGGTTGCTTGCAATGCATTTGTAGTTTCCTGCCAACCAATGCATATTGTCATCCTCAGTAACTGCCATGCTGCTACACACTGGATAAGCAACTGAAAATCAATATTTTTCTTTTCTTATATTTAAGATCAATCTGATATTTCTTCACATAAGGGCTACTGGCCGTAGATAACAAATTTCGCACAGGAAATATTCCAATATTATGTCAATTGCTATTTTGCAGGCAAGCATCTATGGTGCTTGAGACCTACTTTCTTATTACGTCACCCAATTTTGCTTGAACAAGAGGCATGCAAAACATTTGAAGGTAGTCAGACATAATTTTATTCAAAGTAAATTTCACAGAACTACATATATTTTGAACAAATACTTTGCTTTGGGCCATATGAGCTGGACAAATTATGGAAGGACTATAGCACACACTGCAAGAATATATTGTTCCTTTAGATATCTTTGTTCATTGCATTAGTAACCTGTGCGATTATTTATGAACAGGATGGATCATGATCAACGGCAGAGGGTGAGCTGCGCCATGGGTCGTGAATCACCGTTGCTATTGCCTCCAACTTGTCGCTGGAGCCACGCGCCCAACAGCTAGAGCCAAGATGAATTCCTGAGAGAGTATGTATGTATGGACGTGCCTTGCACGTGCACGCTCACTAGTTCTTAAAATTGGAACACTTTCTTAAAAACACTGGGTTGGGCATCCGATCCTGGTTAAAAAATCGAATACCCGCACCACTCACTTATATGTCCTTATTTCTCTCTTTCTAGGTCTCTATCCCCTTATTCTCTCTCTTCTCTCTCTAAACCTCACACCACATACATGAAAAGGTTGCGGTGATGATGGTATTGTTGTTTCCATGGCCGCCTGGTGGCGATAGTGACGGGGAGAACGACTGTTGTGGCGGGCAGAGTAAGAAGACATCTAGGAGGTCACCAGTGGAGAGGAGGAGGGGGATGACCCCATCGTGGCGAACCAGCAATGAAGGAGATGGCCGTTGCTGTGGACTCCGACAATGAGGAAGGCAAGATCATCGAAGGTAAGGAGCACTGGGTCGTCATAGGCACGAGTTCATCGAAGGAATCTTAGATCCAGCCATCGGAGAGTAAGAAGGACCTAGATTTGGATTGGCATATTTTTTTGTCATTTTTTCCATGTTTCATCCCATATATGTTTTACATGTTTCTTTGTATTATATCAAAATATTTATGTATAAATTCTTTTGATGTTACATATTTTTTCTTACTTCGATTTGTAGGGATATGTTGATGTTTCATCAGTTGAAGCTTGATGTTTCATTTACATGAGTGGAATGTTTCAATCATTATTGTTTCATCATTTGAATCGCCCAAAACATTTCTGGTCAAGTAGTGAAATATTTTTTGAGTAATATGTGTGCCTGATTTGCAGTCAATTCAATACTCCCTTTGTTCCCAATACTCTAAATGTTACTAATAAGCTATGGCATAATACATTATCAATAACTATAGAGTTATTGCATAATATTCTATGAATAAATATACAATTAAATTCATATGAAATATTTTCAAAATATAAATCTAATGATGTCATATGTGTGAAACTAAACATATATATTTGAAATTAATTACTATTCAAAAGTAGTAATTGTTGATTTTCCTTAAAACATGGACATTCTTGTAAGCTAGAGCATATATTTTTCTACTCAACTCCAAAAGTAGGCTATGGCCTATGAAGTTCATTGATAGATTTTCAGTGATGATATTCTGGAATATCACTAGGAGTACTATTCCTAATATAAATTTCGCATTTCGTAAACATGATAATCTTTATGTGATATTTGCTTAAAGGGGTAGTACTAACCGAGCATAATTTAGCAAGAAGTAATTGAAATGGTTGTACCAAATATTGTTTTCTATGCATGATGAAACTGTCCAACATCTATTCTTTGACTATCATATTGCCAAGTTTTTTTTGGAGAACTATTGTTGTTTGTTTGGGGGCAATTGTTTTATTTGAACTTGTTTTGAAAACTAACTACCAATTTGACCATACTTTTCATAGTTTGCTTATTTGACCCTGCTTTTGAAAATCGAACATGTTGTTTGACTATTCCGTTAAGATAAGTTAACAGTGTTATGTAAGGTGCAAATAGTCCCTTTTGCCCTTGCTTATTTGACCCTGCTATATCAAAACAAACTTTCTGTCCCATAAAAAACCAACCTCATAGTAAGATGTGATACATCCTAGTACGAGGTTATTTTTTTTGGGACGAAGGTAGTAGATTTTTTGGAGGGTCGAATAGATAGGGTTCAACCCTCTTCGAGGGTATTTTGGTCAGTTCAAATAGTAAATATATTTCATTTCTTTTCCCTAAATGAAACCCAACGGTGTATAGAAATAGGGTCAGACGGAATGTTCAATTTTGAAAAAGAGGGTGAAATGAGCATACTCGAAAATACAGGGTCAGATTGGTAGTTAGGCTTTAGAATGGGCTCAAATAAGCAATTGTTCCTATTTGTTTTGGTATGTAGATACCAAGTAGTTTCTCTCATATGTTTAGAAAGCAATCATAGTATAAAGCAACCAGCAGTAGTAGCACATTATTCACATGTGCTAAAACCTAAGACTTGTTCTAAAAGTGATCGATAGGTGTTCTGATCAGATGATCAATCGCGCCTTATCGATGATTAATCGGACGATCAGATTTCTGATCGAGCTGATCGAATGAATGTCCTTGATTAGAGTCAAGGGACCAATCAGGACAATTAATCGTGATTGATCGGACGATCAGATAACATTGCTTCCTAAAACATGCAATAGGCACAACCTGAGATTGTAACATCTACAAAATTCCAAACCAACAAAAGATATATGTAGGTTCTTACGAAATATTGGGAGTCATCCATCCGACCCCTCTCCACGCCTTGTGTGTAGCACGTGCCCAGCACTTGAGAAAAATCTCCATACCTAGAAAACCCAAAAAAATAAGGACCGGAAAAGGAAATCATTTAATAAAGAAAAAGCTATCATGCTTAATTTATGCTTCATCCACACTCCCAACCTATTTCAAAACATATATACCCATAAAAAATAATATCTTTAAAGTTCAATCTCCTTTTGCCACATATTATTAGTGTTTTTTTAGAAACAAATCAGTATCATATAATGTTCTATCACAACACTATGAAATTTCAAACCTAAATTCAATCTTGATCAACAACGAGAAATAGAAGAAAGGACCAATTCGACTTTAAAAAAAATTCTTGTGCGATTTTTACCAACACATTGTTTGTGTTGTGCCTAAAACACTAATAATTTCTCATATATTTTATAAAGTGTAACTTAATTTGACCAAACCACAAAACTATAGGGAAAGATGAGAAGGAAGAAGATAAGAATGATCATAGGTAATAGTTGGCTTGATTTTCCATCTTGGTTATTGTTTGGAAAGCTGAATTTTCCGTGCTAGGCTAGGATCTTAAGTTCTTAATACAAATTCCTAACTAGAATTTTGGACTGATCCACGGTGTTCTGACTCAACTACAGTTGGGGATGCCATGTTGGTATTTAGATTTGTCGGGAGCTAGTGTTTTCCTACTTCATTATTTAAAACATTTTTATCCTTAAAATAAAATATTGGAATATTCAATAATTAGTGGATGACAAAGATGAACACAACACAAAATTAAGTTGAAATATGCACCTTTTCCATGTTTTAAACACAGTAATCCATTTTTCCATCTTGTACTTTGACTGGGTTATTGTACTTATTGATTGAGGTAGCATGAAACTCCTGCGAAAACTCCATGACCCAAGCTCCCAATGATGGGTAAGTAGCACAAGTACTAGGTAACTAAGAAATTTTAATGGTGTCCTAAACATACAATTAGTCAATCATACCACCCAAACTAGTCTATCATGCCACTAAATTTGTCTCTCATCCATATAATAAATAGCTATAAAAATTACCTAAATCAAATTTTCAATATAACCATCCATTCATATCTTAACTAAAAATTAACAATACAATATATATATATATATTCACAAATATCAAAGATCCTACAAGCACATTGCACACATGTAACACTACAAGCCTCAAATCCGCAATTGCAAAACTTAAAATAAAAAATTTGGGCAAAAAATGGTTTCTAGGGTTACTCTTTGATCTACAAATTCAACCAATTTAAAAAAAATGGTGGAATGGAGGAGTATACCTTGCTCTTCGATTTTCCCAAGAAATCCTAAAAAACGGCTCCGAATTGAGTAGATTCGAGAAGGAGATGTGAGAAGGGAGAGAGAGGGGAGGAAAAATGTTCAAGCTCGGCTGGGGGGCGAATGGGTGAGCAGGGGGAGAGGGGGAAGGTTAAGTCCCCCCACCTCCCCTGCCCCTAGGGGGATGGCGCGTGGTGTGGGGAGCACACCAGTGTGAGGGGAGGGGGTAATTAGCCTCATTGACATTGTCCCTCCAGGTGCCAAGTCTGATCGGTGGCTCCACTGAGGTGCCACGGTGGTAGGGTGATGGCGCCAGCGGCACTAATACCGTCACGTAGGACGATAGGACCATGGCACCAGCGTCGCTGGCGCACCAAAAGGTCTATTTCTGCATTAAGTTTTTCTAGAAGTCTGTTTGTAAAAAAAATATCAAAATGTAAAAAATCCAGCTTGTTAGCAAGCATACATATCACTTCACAGTGGAAAAAATGGCTTCTCTCTGGTGGCAAATTTGTAGGACTAAACTTATTTGAAGAGTTAGCTTTTGTAAGAGTGACAACTATATAGTTAAATATCCAAAAAAAGCGTGGCTGCAGTAGAGTGAGAGGGAAATGAATGGGGAAGATTGTTATGGCGGTTGGGTAACCTGCGAAAGATAGTGAAAGATGAGATGGAATGATAACGACAATTAATTAAATAGCCAAGCTTGTTTTTCAGTCATCGTTATCGTCTGGAAAGTTGATTTTTCATGGATTGGCTAGCTTTTTATAAGTTCATAATTTGAATTCCTAGTTAGTTTATAAGCTGATATTTTAGACCTTTTTAGGCATTTAAATTCGACAGACCCATAGTGTTCTAACTCAACTACAGTTGGGGATGCCATGTTGGTATTAGAGTTCCTCTTCCATTATTTAAAACAATATTTTGAAGGGATATTTTTTCAAAGGATTAAAATGAAAACTTTGGAATATTCCATAATTACAGGATAAAGATGACCACGCAGCATGAAATTAAGGCTGAAAGATGGTCATTTTCCATTTTTTAACACAGTAATCCATTTTTCTATCGTATTAATTTGACTGGGTTAAATCTTGTACTTGTTGATTGATGTAGCATCAAACTCCTGCGAAAGCTCCATGACCCAAGCTCCCAATGATGAAGTTCATCTGGATTGGAAGAACCGGATCTTATCATATATGTGACCGACACAACTAAATGGAAGCCTTGTGGGCCATGGGAGAGCGAAGTTTTAACATTGATCGTTACACAAAAACAAAACCACACATGTGCAATAATTTAGATAAAAATCGTAATAGGTTCTCCACAGACAAATTAGAGAAATACTACTTGACATGTTTTAACAGAACGACATGTAACATGTTTATATATCTCCTAGCCATGCCAACATGACAACATATAAATTTCTTCTCGAGATAATTTGAGCTAACTATATTATCCAGTATCAGTTATTTAGCCGTCGCATTTATATACCGGGACGTGGTCGGAACATATATTACCTGCACATCACGTATACTCCCAAAGGAGCACTTTTGTTGCGTTACGTACGCACAATCACCGCCAAAAGAAAAAAAAGAAAACACTCGATCAGAAGCAGCCGAATTTCACTATGCCGAACAGCAAAAACACAGTGTACTACCGCGCGTGGCCAGATCTACACCGGGACCAGATCGATCAATCGAGCGAGCGCCGACAGTTTGGAACCTGCAACGCAGCATCATCGATCGACCCGACCCGCGCGCGCGCGACCCCTAGACGACACACGTCAGAGGCGCCACCAACAGTTTATTGACGCGAACATGGCGCCTCCCCGACTGGATAGAATCTCCCATGCGCCGACCGATCTGGACGCACCCCTCGCTCGTGTCCGTGTCAGCTCCCGAGAAGCTGCCCACATGCAGCACACCTCACACCGAACCAAATAACTAGCTACTACTTGCGTGCATGTGTTATCTACAGCTCTCCTGCCTATTTAAGCGACACTACCTGCCTTCTGAGTTTGGCCATTAGCAGCACATTCACCGGCAGCACACGCGCGCACACATGGCCGGCTCGTCAGCCGCAACGTCGTGTGCTCGGTTCCTGGCATTGCTGGCGACATGCCTCCTCTGGAACGAGGCCGCATCGTTCACGGCGTCCGGCTGGAACAAGGCGTTCGCCACCTTCTACGGCGGCAGTGACGCTTCAGGAACGATGGGTAAGTTCGTAGCTAGCTAGCTACTGTAGCTAGGAATGGATCCATCGTGCAATCGGTGACGTTGGTTCATGTGCATGCGTGTCGTCGTGTGTGTGTGCAGGTGGGGCGTGTGGGTACGGGGACCTGTACTCGACGGGGTACGGGACGAACACGGCGGCGCTGAGCACGGTGCTGTTCAACGACGGGGCGTCGTGCGGGCAGTGCTACCGGATCATGTGCGACTACCAGGCGGACAGGCGGTTCTGCATCTCCGGCACGTCGGTGACCATCACGGCGACCAACCTCTGCCCGCCGAACTACGCGCTCCCCAACGACGCCGGCGGGTGGTGCAACCCGCCGCGGCAGCACTTCGACATGGCCGAACCGGCGTGGCTCAAGATCGGCGTCTACGTCGGCGGCATCGTGCCGGTGATGTACCAGCGGGTGCCGTGCGCCAAGCAGGGCGGGGTGAGGTTCACCATCAACGGCAGGGACTACTTCGAGCTGGTGCTCGTCTCCAACGTCGGCGGCGTCGGCTCCATCCAGTCGGTGTCGATCAAGGGGTCGAGGACCGGGTGGATGGCCATGTCCAGGAATTGGGGCGTCAACTGGCAGTCCAACGCCTACCTCGACGGCCAGAGCCTGTCGTTCAAGGTCACCAGCAGCGACGGCCAGACGCTCACCTTCCTCGACGTCGCCCCGGCGGGCTGGACGTTCGGCCAGACCTTCTCGACCTCACAGCAGTTCTCTTAAGTAATTAAATATTAATGAGTTATTACTGGTCCATTCATATATGTGTTTAATTCCGAGCGTATATTATCATCGGCGTCGGCGTGTAAAGACTAAAGATATATTACTAGTAGCTGTTTGGGTTGCCCACAAGTTTGGAGCATGCGCGCACAAGTGTTTGGTGTGGCGAGCTATATATATGATTTGCAAGCTAAGGACACCTGCTTTTTTCAATGCGAATTAAAACGGTATATATATGTACAGTTTGCGAGGTGCTTGCCAATCGATGATCGGCATGCTTTACTGTAACGACCACACAAGGAGTTTTCACTTTCCTGAACTATTACTGTCCATAGTTTCGTCCATCTGATTGGCTAAAAATATGACCCCACATATTTTTTACTTATTTAGTTATTTGTTTCCTTGCTACCTCATTTTGTTCACGTTGTTGAAGATAATTCTTATAAACATGACGATCACCGACTTTGTTCACGCGGAATTAGTTGAGTACTGACCGGTTGAGGATAAAGCCATTATCACCGCATTTAGGCTGAGTTCGGTAGCAAGAGTGCCCAACTCACTTCCCTATACAAAAGTTACTTAAAAAGATCATATTGATCTATTTTCAAAAAAAAGTTTAGCTAATACTCCCTCCATCCCAAAATATAATAACTTTTAGCACTTAGAATTTGTTCCAAAATATAACAATTTCTCCATCAACCAATCACAACCCTCCGTCATTCACTTTTCCCACCTAGCTCCACTTCTCAACTAATCACAACCCCTTCATATCTCTATTTCTCCAACTATCACTGGTGGAGAAACCGTTTGTAGTCCCGGTTGGTACCCCCCTTTAGTCCCGGTTATCCAACCGGGACTACGAATCCGGGACTAAAGATAGCTATCTTTAGTCCCGGGTGAAATAACCGGGACTAAAGATCGATCAGCCACGTGGCCGGCCAAACCATCTTTAGTCCCGGTTTGTGTTACCAATCGGGACTAAAGATCGGTGCACCATTTTTTTTTGCATGGCCCTGTTTGCTGCATGGTTGGTTTTATATATATATATATATATATATATGTGTGTGTGTGTGTGTGTGTGTGTGTGTAAATCAAATATTACACACACATATGTATAATTTAAATCACTTAACATTTTATGTGCATATATATATGTTACCAAAATATATATTAACACAAAAGTAAATGTGTACATATATAAATATATATATACATGCGTATATAGTACAATTCTTTTGCTCGGTAGCTATATATAGCTACGACTTCGACGCCGGCATTATGTCAGAAGAGGAAGGACCGACGTTATGAATTGTCGATCCGTCGTAGTAGAATTCACCGTCGGGATTAAAGACTCCTTCGTTGATGAATCCCATCAGTTATTCTTGAAAAGCCGTGATAAAATCCTTGTGTGGGAGATTATCACTCATGTGAATACGCTATCATTCGAAAAATAATGACGTATCAATATATGAAATTAATAAACAACTTAACAAATCGATACGCAATGAACTTTTGAATGGTTTATGTATACGTACATCGAGCTCTCGTGTTGTGCATATTTGGTTTGATAGGCAGTAGGCATACTCGCATACGTAGTAGCCGCATAAGTTAGTTCCCTGGTCCTGCTTTGCACACTACATGAGAAACGATGAAAGATTTAATATACTCTTTATATTAACTGTAATTAGAGATTCAATTCAATATAATTTTGGATCATGCATGTACTCACTGGAAAATGAAACCTCCGTCCAAGTTTTTCTTTCCAAGTTCCGCGGACCAATTGACGGAACCGATCCCAAGCCCTACATATGCAGTTGCAAGCTATGATTAATTATTACCTGAGATCAACATAATAGCAATAGATTCCCCGCGACTTGGGAATAGATGGCATTATATTACCTATCTATCAGTTTGAAGACCTTGTCAAAAATCTTCTCCTCTTTATTCATTGAGTCATACACAGTGACTCTGCATGCGTCCAAGTCAAAGAATAACAGGACCCAGTGGAATCTGGAATATGCGTGAGATGAGATATATATGATCGAAAATGTACATGCTATATGTATGGGAACGAAATTTGTTCGAACGACAATAAAAACTCACTCTGTGTTGTACGGCAGTAGTATGTACGTCTTGAAATGCTGCTGCGTTAGGAGATGGACAAGATTGTCCTCTGTGTCTTTCTCGTACTTGTCGATCATTTCGATGTTGATTTTCCGAGGGTCGATGAACCTAGTATCGTAGACCCTCCTCTGTCGGGCCCTTTGAATCTCCATTCTACAACGATGAAAGGAAAGTATTATTGCTTACATATATGCCAGGAGCTAATTATTGAACGAATCAAATCGAACTCAAAGATACTCACAAAATCCATGCGCTCAAAAGAGAGACGTCGAGGGCGTCCAACTGGTATAGATCGAAGAGATCCTTGAAATGGATCCAGAGAACATCTTCTCCTTGCAAGATGTCGGGGTTTCTGATCCTCGCTCCGAACATCTCTCTACATTTGGCGCTCATTTCCATGCACCGTTCATGGAATTTGTACATCTGTGTCGGTAGGGACTGCAGTTTTTTAGGTTTGACAAGCGGTTTACCGAGTTCAAACTTGTATGTCACTTCCGCCTTCGGGATTGGTGCGCCTCGAACCAACTGATCCACAGTTAGACCGGTGTCTGCAATGAATTCCGTTATGCCAAAATCTTCGCCGGTCACCAACGGCTCGACCTCTTGGTTTGGTTGTTCTCCAAGCTGAGGGACTGGTTTGGACTTCTTGTGATAGGCTCTCTGAAGTGTTCGGTCATAGTCCGATATCTGTAACGCCTCCTTGTTTGTTGTGGACATTCCCTTGAAGAAGTTCTTCACGCTCGGGTCAATAGGTATCTTCTTTTCAGGACTCCGAGGCTTGAGTTGCCTCTTCACCTCTCCTGCCACATAAGCATCAAGCTCCTCTTGACTGCAATCGTACGGTGGCTCCTTGTTTTTGGTGGCGTCAACTTTCGCCTTTTTCGTTGCCCTTGTGCGAGCAGGTGGTGGAGCTTGGCGAGACCTTGTCTTGGGAGGTGCAGGCAGACACGGTGGAGGCGGAGGAGGCGGAGGAGCCAGAGGAGCCGGAGGAGATGGTGCAGGAGGACGTGGTGGAGGAATCGGAGGAGATGGTGCAGGAGGAGATGGCGGAGCCAGAGGAGATGGTGCACGAGACGCCGCTTGTCTCCCAGGAAGGATGATGTACCGCTTGCGCCATAGTATGATGGCGTGGCTTGTGTCTCGTAGATACGTCTCACCGTCTCCTCCTGGGTAGTCCAACTCGAGGTCCTCGTACGCGGCTTCCACCAGCTCAACTTCGACCCTCGAGTATCCTGCTGGAATCGGCCTGCAGTGGTAAGTCCCGGAAGGGTCCGTTGGGATGGCCATTCCCGACGCCACCTTCACGTGATGAGAGGTTATCTATTAGTAATCAACCTAAGCAGCAACTTGCGGAATGTACAAGTCAAAAATCATCAAACTACGAGCATACCTTGATTGATAAGTTCTTGAAGGAAATATGCAGCTCACATGGTGTCCGCTGCATGATCTCATCAACGGGGTAGGTGGTTTCGTCATGGGTTTGCATGGCGTCCATGCTCTGTGATCCGACCTGCCCCGTTGAGGCGCAGCTGCTACGATTGCCTGATGGGCTGACCATTGCAGGATGAATTTACGGCTGGGGATCCTGGGACCGATGTGCGGCCATACGTTCATCCACCTTCCTTGACACCTCCTCTTGCATGCTGAGCTCGTAGCTCGATACCCTGTACTCAAGATCTGCAATCTTCGCCTCGGTATCTCTCTTGCTCCTCATCCGACTCCTGTACGTGTGGATGTCCTCCTTAAATCCAATCTTCCAGGGAATCACGCCTTTCCCTCGTGTTCATCCTGGATGCTCGGGAGTCTGTAGGGCGAGTGACAGCTCATCCTTCTCTCTGTCGGGTCAGAATGTACCCTGAGAAGAGGCTACCACTGCGTCCGTTAGTCGACTGGCAGCCTCGCGTATCTGATCGCTGAAGACAAGGGAGCCATCAACTGGGTTAAGCGTTCCACCGTGAGCATAGTACCAAAACTTCGATCTATCCGGCCATTTAGCGGTGGCCGGTTCGATACCCCTCTCAATCAAACTTGCCTCCATCTCCTCCCACTTTGGCATTGCGACGCTATATCCGCCTGACCCCAAGTGGTGATGGTACTTCTTCTTGGCGGCATTGTCTTTGTTTCTGGCCATCATCGCTTGCCCTTGTTGCCCTGTCTTGTAAGCAGCGAACTCGTCCCAATGATCCCTTAGCTTTGGGAATACGTCGAAGTTCAGTGTTAGTCCCTTCAGGATGTATTTCTTGTAGAGATCTCCCTTGAAGCTCTGGAACTGTTCTGCCATTTTCTTCAGAGTCCACTGTTTCACTATGTTCTCCGTACCCGCGGGTAGCGTGAACGTCTCGAGCATTGTGGTCCACAACATCTCTTTCTCTGAGTCCGGGACAAAGCTGTCATTATCCCCGCGTGCCCTTGTTCTGCGCCAGTACACCGTGCTAACAGGCACGTTGTCCCTCACAACCCAACCGCTGTGGCGTACAAAATTCTTGGCTGCTTCTGCCGGGGCACTAGGTCGGCCGTCTTCGTCCACCTCAGTTATGATGTGCCGACCCTCTGTCTTCTTCGCGGCACCTTGTTGTCCACGTGCCCTCTTCTGTCTAGCGGAGGGATGACTTCCACTAGTCTCCTCCTCATCGTTCCCCTCCTCGTTCCCCTCCGCATCCCTCTCCACGTTCCCCTCCTCGTTCAAGTACTGGTTTGGATCCTCGTTCCCCTCTCCTTCATTCCAGTACTGGCTGCTTCCCTCTGCGATTGTATCGTATAGTATCTGTTCCTCATCGCGATCAGCCATCTGTGCATACAAAAAATATTTGTTAGGTATATAGGATGTATTTGCGTACCGTAATATTAAAACTCTGCTAATCTTATATTAAATCTCTAATAATCTTATATTAAATGGCTACTAATCTCATATTAAAATTGTAATAATCATATATATATGCTAAGTCTAATAATGTTATATTAAATCTCTAACAATCTTATATTTAATCTCTAATAATCTTATATTAAAATTGTAATAATCATATATGCTAAGTCTAACAATCTTATATTAAATCGCTACTAATCTCATATTAAAATTGTAATAATCATATATGTATGCTAAGTATAACAATCTTATATTAAATCGCTACTAATCTTATATTAAATCTCTACTAATCTCATATTAAATCGCTACTAATCTTATATTAAAATTGTAATAATCATATATATATATATATATA